AGGGGACATCAACACAGAAGAGCTGGGAAGTCATACATCTGAACTTTCTAAAATGATAGCAGCTGAAGTAAAGGAACAACTCCATCAGGCCATAGAAGACATTAGATCAGAAATAATCTCTCAGTTTTAAAAAGGATGACAACAAATAATGAAAAAATTGCTCAGCACATCCAAAGACATCATAAGAAAACAGAGGAGCAAAGAAAAATGATGGAAGCCTTGAATGAACAATATAGGAAAGAATTAGAATGCATAAAACAAATTCAAACAGATACCCAGGAAATTAACAATTCCATGAAATGCTGGCAAAGCCACTTGAACGAAGCTGAAGACAAGACTTTCAGACATTGAAGACAGCATGGCAGCTAAACATCATGAAAGGAAGGATCTTTTAAAAATAACAAGGAACCAGGAAATAACAATTCAACAGCTGCAAGATGAAGCAAATGGAATTGAAATCATTCCATGCATACTATCTGACTGTAGGGCAATGAAATTTGAAAGTAATTTTGACAAAAGAAATAGCAAAATCTCCATAAACACATGGAAATTAAATGACAACCTCCCTGAACAAGCAATGGGTCACAGATGAACTTAAAGAAAAATTATACAATATTTACAAGCAAACAAAAATGCAGATACAACTTACAGGAATGTGTGGGATGCAATGAAAACACTTCTCAGAGGAAAATTTATAGTGGTGAATTCCCACATCAGGAAAACAGAATGAGCACAAATAAACAATCTTATGCTGCACCTCAAGCTTCTAGAAAAAGAAGAGCAAGTCCAGCCCAAAGCCCAAAGAAGGCAGGATGCCAGGGACATAGCTCAGTGGCACAAGCTCCTGTCTGGTAAGTGCAAGGTCCTGGGTTTGATTCCCAGTATAAAAAAAAGAAAGGAAGTAAATTATAAAGATCAGAGCAGAAATTAATACAATGGAGACTAAGAAAACAATACAAAGAATAAATGAATTGAAGAGTTAGATTTTTGAAAGAATAAATAAAATTGATAAACTCATAGCTACCTTATTAAAAAAAGGAAAGAAAAAACAAATTCATGCAATAAGGAATGAAAGGGATGAAATCACTACAGATCCTGTGGAAATTCAAAAGATCATCAATAGCTACTTCAAAAATCTTTATTTTCATAGGATGGAAGACACAGAGGAAATCGACAGATTACTAGATACATACGAATTACCGAAGCTGAATGAAGAAGTTAAAAATCCTGAATAACTCCATATCAGCCAGTGAAACTGAGAATGGAATAAAAAACTTGCCAATGAAGAAAAGCCCAAGTTCTGATGGAGTCACTGCTGAATTCTCCAAGAAATTTAGGGAAGATTTAACCTCAATACTTCTCAAACTCTAATGAAACTGAAAAGGAAAGGAATTCACCCTAACTGTTTCCTGGAGGTAAGTATTAGTCTGATACCAAAACCAGTGAAAGACCCAACCAAAAAACACAACTACAGGCCAATCTCTCTAATGAATATAGATGCAAAAATTCTCAATAAAATACTAGCAAACAGAATGAAACAAGTCATCAAGAAGAGTATACACCTTGACCAAATGGGATTCATCCCAGGAATGCAGGGATGGTTCAACAGATGCAAATCAATTAATGTAATACACCATATCAATAGAGCCAAAGACAAAAATCACATGATCATCTCAGCTGATGCAGAAAAAGCTTTTGATAAAGTCCAACACTCATTCATGATAAAAACCCTACAGAAAATAGGAATAGATAGTCTTTACCTCAATATGATCAAAGGTACATATGACAAACCAACAGCCAACATCATACTAAATGGTCAAAAGCTGAAAGCTTTCACTTTAAAATCAGGAACAAGATGAAGATGTCCACTGTCACCGCTCCTATTCAACATAGTTCTGGAAACATTAGCCAGAGCAATTACACAAGAGAGAGAAATAAAAGGAATAAGGATAGGAAAGGAAGAAGTGAAATTATCATTATTTGCAGATAACATGATACTCTATGTAGAAGACCCCAAAAACTCCACCAAAAGGCTTATAGATTTAATAACCAAATTCAGTAGCATCAGTGGATACAACGTCAACACTCAAAATTCAATTGCATTTCTGTACACAAACAACTAACAGAGAGAAAGTAGGGCAACCACACCTTTCATAACAGCGTCTAAAACAATGAAATACTTAGGAATCAATCTAACAAATAAAGTAAAAGATCTATACAGTGAAAATTACAGTACTCTGAAAAAAGAGATTAAAGAAGCTTTCAGCAAATGGAAAGATATTCTTTCTTCATGGACAGGAAGAACCAACATTGTAAAAATGGCCATACTCCCAAAATTGTTGTACAGATTCAATGCAATCCCAATTAAAATACCATTAGTATACCTCACAGATCTACAGAAAACATTCCTAAAATTCATCTGGAACCAGAAGAGGCCTAGAATGGCAAAAGCAATCCTGGGCAACAAAGACAAGGTAGGAGGCGTCACTGACTTAATCCTTGACTTGAAATTATACTACAAAGCTACTGTGATAAAATCAGCATAGTACCAGCAAAAAAACAGACCTGAAGATCAATGGAACAGATTAGAAGATGCAGGCACAGCTACAAACACACTCAGCCACCTTATCTTTGACAAAGGGCCAAACATATTCACTGGAAGAAAGATAGCCTCTTTAATAAACAGTGCTGGAAAAACTGGTGCTCCACATGCTGCAGACAAAAACTAGACCCATGTCTATCACCATGCCCTAAAGTCAAAATGGATCAAAGACCTAAATATTAAAACAGAAACACTAAATCTACTGGAAGAGAAAGTAGGTAAAAATCTTGAAGACATAGGAGTAGGCAGAGAGTTCATGTAGAAAAACCAAACTGCATGGGAAATACTTCAAAGAATCAACAACTGGGATCTCTTATTGAAAAGTTTATGCACATCAGAAGAAATCACCAGCATAGTAAAAGGAAAACCCACAAATTGGGAAGAAGTTTTAACCAACTTCCCCTGACAAAGTACTTCTATCTGGAACATATAAATAATTTTAAAAATTAGGCCCCCAAAATTCAAAGACCAAAATCCAAAAATGCACAACTCAGATGAATACATACTTCTCAGATGAAGAAATACTAATGACGAATAAATACATGAAATCATGTTCAATATCACTGGTCATCCGAGAAAAGTAAATTAAAAAAACACTGAGATTCCATCTTGCCCCAGAAAGAATGGCTATCATTAAGAAATCAACCAGTAACAAATGCTGGAGAGGCTGTGGGGAAAAAGGAACACTTCTCCATTGCTGGTGGGAGTGCAGATTGGTGAAACCACTGTGGAAATCAGTGTGGAGATTCCTCAACAACTAGGATTAGAAGTCTCACTTAACCCAGCTATTCCCCTTCTGGGTACTTTCCCAGAAGAATTAAAAACATCATACCACAGCGATATATGTGTACTCATGTTTATAGCAGCAAAATTTGTCATAGCTACATCTTGGAAACAACCCCAATGCCCATCAACTGAGGAATGGATAAAAAAAGATGTGTTATTTTTACACAATAGAGTATTACTCAGCTATAAAAAAGATAAACTCGAGGCTTTTATAAGTAAATGGATGCATCTAGAGACCATACTCATAAGTGAAGTTAATTGGACCTAGATGTGTAAACATCAAATTATCTCCCTAGTGTAGGAACCTGAAAGAGTAAATAAAACCAAAAATGTACAATAGATATTATGAAAGAGAAATAAATTGCTCAAAGGAAGGAACAACTTGGATGAGGAAAAGGAGAAAAAGGAAGAAAGGAGGGAAAATATATACAGATATACTTTCCCTTCCTTCTTTATATATATATGGATAGCTGGGATAACTGTACTGCTGGTGTCTAATGGTTTATTGAAAAGAATAGTAAATGCTTAATTTTTTTTTGTTTTTTGATCATTTTGCATGCGTATATCTGGTAATCTGAACAACTAATTTGAAGACAATAATATGCAATGTAACAACCACTGGTGAATTCCTACTATCTTGTCTAGTGAAACTCTATTATTTCTAATGTTTTTTTTTATTTTCATTTTTTATTCTCTCTAATGGCTTGATCAATTTTGAATTCATACATCTGGTAATGTGAGCAACTTTGTTGAAGATAACAATACGTAATATAACAGCCACTGTTAACTCCTATCATCTTGTTCTGAAACCCTGTATCATTTTTATTGTTTTTACTTTGTTTTATTTTTGTCTGTGTTGTCAGTGTTTTGCTATTGCTCTTCTTTACTATTCTCTTTAAAATAAAGAAAAATCCAACTGCAGAAGAAGCTAAATTCTGCCAAACTTTGAAAAAAAGGAAGGACTACTTCCTGACACATTCTATGAGGCTATGTTACTCTGATACCAAACCCAAATAAAGACAGCACAAGAAAACTAGAGATCAATATCCCTTATGAATATAGATGTAAAAATTCTCAAACAGTGCTCACCAACTCAATCAGAAAACACTTAAATTAGTATATGATGAAGTGGTATCCATCTCAGGAGTGAAAGGGATGAAAGTATAAGAAAATAAATAGAATACAAACAATAATAGAATAAGAAAAGAAGCTACATGATCATATTAAGAACCACAGAAAAAAATATGAAAAATTCCCACACCCTTTCATGATTAAAAAACCACTCAGGAACTAGAAATACAAGAACTTTCTTAACATAACAGTATTTATGAAACATCCACAGCCCATATCACATTCAATTATGAAAGACTGAAAGCTTTCTCCCTAAAATTAGGAACAAAACAAGGATTTCACCACTTTTCACCACTGCTATTATACACTATATTGGAAGTACTAACTAGGCAAGAAAAGTACTAATTACTAATTAGGCAAGAAACTATATAAAAAGCCACATAGAAAGAGGTAAAACCATTTCTCTATATATTTAGAAAACTCCAAAAGACTCCAGAAAATGTAAAGAAGTGGAGAACCATTTATTGAGTAGAAGATTTACCTTTGAGGTAGATTCACTGCCTGTAACTGAGATGTCGATAGTTGGTAATAGTATTAATGCCTTCTCCAAAATTTTTCTGACTGTTGTCTTTCCACCACCTGTTGGGCCCAGTAACATCACACCAACACAGGCCTAAAACAAAAGTTTCAGATTTATTCATTTGTAAACCATTCAAAAAGTTTATTTACAAATATATGTTTCCTTCAAATTAGTTTAATCCATTATAATTTGGCTTCTGCTTTTACTGAGTAGGGTAGTGCTAAAATCACCAGAAATCTACTAATTTTAAAATTCAAAGAATAGTTTTCAATTCTTGATACTGAACAGTTTATCACCTGTCTTTCCACTTTTCCTTCTTTCTTTGCTATTGGGTTCTCTACTGTCACTTATCATAACTTTCCCTTCTGTCTTTTCTTTTTCCTGAGCTCTGATTCTCCTTTGCTTGTTAGACTTCCCTAACTCACTCTTATTCCTCTTTCTCTTCTACATTGCTCCCATTCAATCTCATCAATTTGGGCTTTAACTATGACCTAGATTTTAATGGCTCCCTGAGGTGTGCATTTTTAAGCCACCAGCCTGGTATTTTTGTTACAGCAGCCTGAGATGACAAAGACAGTCAGGTTTATCTTAGACTATCGTAATAGCATTAAAGAAGTTATTACTTTTAAAGTAACATACATATCATACAAATACATTAAAATTAAATATGGATGAAGCTGTAATACTTTTTCACTAACTTTACAATCTCCACCCTCACAGAGGTCTCCTGTGATTCTCTGACCTGACAATTGTAGACTCTATCTAACAAGGTGAGAAGAGTCCAAAACCCTTTCTTATAAAATGGATATTGACTATTTATGAATACAGTTGGCCTGGCACTTATTGGTCATGAAAGAGTGGCAGCTGACCCTCTGAGGTAAACCTCCTTTCATAATTAACCTCTTATGATAATGTCTGGTTTCCTCAGGGTATCTTTTTACCACTTGGAAAACCTCAAAGGAGAAGAGTAATGAATACACATCTTTGGGACAGTGGAGTGTGGAAATAAATGATGGCTGTTGACCAAACCCCATTGGCCCATGGTGAAGGACCATATTTTGGTGAGATTACCCAGAATCAAGCTACTAATTCACTCTGTGTTATGGTTTAGATGAAAATGGCTCCTAAAGGGCTCATGCAGTAGTGGCTTGGGCTTTTACAAGGGGACTGAATCATGTGGGCACTATAGCTGACATGCTGTTAGATGGGATCTTGTCTGTCAGGCCAGGGAAATATACCTACAATTTCACCACTCAAGAAGTGGGGTCTGGTCCGAAGAGGCAGGTCACTGTGGGCAGGACCTGAAAAGCGTATCTCCCTTTCTGGCTTCTCCCTTCGCACTCTGCTCTCTGACCAAAACAATGTGAGCATTTCTTCCCCCAGGACTTCCCCTATTCTACCAACCTTCTGAACTGTGAACCAAAATAAACTTCTTTTCCTTTAAGTTGTCAGTGTCAGATATTTTGTCCCAGCAACTAGGACAATCTGCCCTGCCCAGATTACTATGACTGCAATAGGAATACAGCATCATACTGGACCTGACAACATGTCTGTGCTGGTTTGGGGGTTATTTTGCTAGGGAGAACAATATAATACAGGACACATAGTTTATAAGATTATTTAATAGTCACCCAAAGAAGGATATACAAGAGAGTGCAGGAAATCTGTCCATTCACTATTGACCAGAAATCCAGTTGAGGGCCTGGATCTTGTGATAATCTTAAAGCATGAGTCCACCTGAACACCTAGAGCTCATAACAATGCTTCACACAAATCCAACTGGAGGCCCAGAGCCCACGACAACGTCTCATGCAGGCCTGTTTCACAGATCTGCACTGGGAAGGCCCAAAGGTCAGTGGTGGAATCTAGGAAGTCTGTGCCAGCGGGATGAAGGACCTGTGCTAGCAGGTTGAGGGATCTGCACTGGAGCCAGGAAGTGATGCATTAAGTAAGAATCACAGCTCCCCTGAAAAGTACCACAGCCATGCTTGGCAACAGTGACGTCCTGAGCTCCTCCAGTGGTGAAGACAGCTGAGTTCCCATCAGGAAAGCCAATGCAGCAAGCTTCTCCATCTTCCCCACAGGAGCAAGGAAGCAATGCTGAAAAATGAGGACCAGAGCTCCCCCAAAGTGAACCAAAGCTATTCTCAGTGCCAACAAGATCCCAAGCTCCTTGGAGGATGAAAACAGCCAAGTTCATCAGGAAAGCCAGCCTGACAAACTCCTCCAAAGAAACCAACAGCTCCTTACAGCTTCTACCAGCTCCCAACAGCTTTTCTCTGCTACCGGTAGCCTAACTTCTTCTTCTCCAGTTTGGCCTCTTATGCTGCTGGCAACAGTCCCCAGGTGGGCCTCCCACACCAAGCACTATACTTACTCAGTTCAGCTGGGTGTTATATGTTGACCACCAGTTGTCAATCCACTACAATGTCAAAACGTCTCAAGACATTGTTCTCATAGACAAAGTAAAGGACTGTATATTTCTGATGCACAAGATACTACTGCATTTCAGACTCTTGCCAAAAGTTGACATAGTTGTCTCACAGAGGGGGAAGCCACACCGAACTGCATGTGAAGAGACTGCTGGAAGGTTGACTACATTACATCTTAACAGCCTAGGGGATACTGGCAGTGCCTCATTGCTGTTGACATTATTCAGGTTAGAGTTGCTGTTCCAATATAACTAGTCACTCTAGCCACAGCACTGTCTTTTGAAATTAATTTGGATCATATGTGTGGACCACCTCTAGTCAGACAGTGGTGTACATTTTATCCCAAAAGTCATTCAACAATGTACAGAAGATCAAGGTACTTACTGAACCTTTCACATTCCCAGCAATCCATAAACATCTGGTTGTACTGAGCATTGATATGGACTCCTCAAAATTTAACTCAAAAAGATTTTTGAGTCTATCTCCCTCACTTTTTTTGACCATACCTTTACAAAGAAGTTTGATTGGATATACATGTGCTGAAGAAAAGATAATCTTTTTTTATCTGTTTTCTGAGAAATGTCAGTATAAGACAGAAGGGAGATTATAAAGACACATTTTGAAATTTGGAGATTAGCTCCAACCATTCCTAGGGATGATGCTTCTTTCTTTTCCCTAATGACAACCCCAGGCCAATCTGGTTGTTCACATTCCAGGTTGTAGACTGAAAATAAGGCCCAGCCAATTCAAATTTAATTATGGTACAACTACATACATTTTTTTTCAGATTGAAGGGTAATGATAACTTGGTTGAACATGCTGCCAGCTGAACCCTTCCACAATGGCCCAAACAGGCCAAAGTGGGGGACACAATGGTTCTCTGAAAGTTTTATTAAACATCTTGGATCTCTTGCACTCAGCCTTTCAGGATAAGAGGTCTACTTTTAAGTAGGGAATACCTGAAAAGTAACTATGGTTAAAACTATTGAAATGGGACGCACCAGTTTTGTGGCAATGTAAGGAGTGCAAAAACCCAGAAGTACCTTGGCTGCTTTGCTGAGAGGCAATTCATTAAGGTCTGTGACATGCCTCAGATTCTGGGAAGATCAGTGAGGAAGGAGGGATACTGAAGGTGTTTTGTCTTTTATGCCTGTTCGTCTAACCTTCAAAACAAAAATGTCCATATTACTAAGGGAGCCTTTAATTTAACTGACTTTTGTCAGATAAGCACTGTGTCGCTGAGCTATATCCCTGGCTCTTAACTGACTTTTGGAACTCATAGTATCTGATGATTATCCTGCTTAACCTCACTGAGAATCTATCAGAAACAGCAGGAATGGGCTCTGCTCCTGCATCTCCTAAGAAAAACATCTGCCAGTACCCGCAGGTCTGGCTGATTCCCTTCGCACCTCAATTCCTGCTGCTCTGGCTAGTCTATGAGGCAGAGAAATGGCCTCATAGCATACAGATCAGGTTGGGCTGACCATTCACAAGCAGTCACTCCAAAACAAGAACTAAACTGAATTTTCAGCACTAACCTGGGGGTCATGTTGGATGCACTGTCAACAAAGACTACTCTTCACTTGAGCTGATATGAGTTCCTCTTAGGAAACCCCCCAAACTGTGAAACTTCTGAGCAAACTGAGTGTACCCTTAAGACTGCATTTCTTATGTAAAAAAGCCACACTTTAAATTGCTTCCCTCCTAAAAACAATGCAATTGCATCTTCAGGTAATTATAAGAATGTTAAATCTCCAGTATTTAAGGAAATATCACCTTGACCTTGGAAGCCATTCAGATTAGCCTCAACTCTGGTCAGTGGAGTTATGGATTATAGAACTGCACTTTCTCCTGGGCCATGCAATTGAAATAAATCTTGCTAACCTGAATTAATTTAGAGACATAAGGAATGGACAGTGCGGGATCGTAAGGAGAAATTCATCTGGCTTCCCAAGGCAGATTCTGATGCTTATGGCATGAGTTTGGCTGTTTGGGCCTAGGACCTTGCATTGTCTTTATCCTGATACTTGGTGTTCTGTTGACAGAAGCCTTAGTTAAGTCCCATGAGAGATAAAATGAATGCATCTTTGGTTTTATCTCTGTCAGTAAGATTAACCAGAGACGATAACCGGATAGTGAGCTCAAAGGGGAATTAAGCAGAAGCCAAGACAAAAGGTAAACCAGGGAGAGACTCAGCTTGAGGTGATTCTTTATGAGCTCCAATATTCCCACAATTCCTTATGGTCTCTGATATTCCCACAGTTCTTTATGGTCTTTGACATTCCCATAAACCTTCTCAGCAAAGGCATTAACAACTCTGTTTGGGACTATTTTTCCAAAAATGTTTGAATATTTGCACTGATATTTGGAAGATAGCTTCTTATTTGGAGAGAAGACAGATTTATTTATTTATTTAAAGATTAAACCTTGTGCATGCTAAGCACATACTATACAACCAAGATACCACCCCAGTCGAGAGCAACTTTGCTACTCAGAGTTTAAAAATACATGTACTTCAGGGACAAAAGTTGGGCATTTTTGCTGCTAGTAACCTCATAAGATTGGAGGTTCCTATGCTCAGGGTTCTCCTGTAACACAATTTACCATGTATGCATGGTCCTTGTATTATCCTGTGGGAATTTAGTTTTGCAGAATTGGTGCAAATGATATTATTCTGGCTACTACTATTGCGAGTAGAAAATTGTCCTTTGTGTCTAACTTAGGAGTCTAGTATCTTTTTTCAGTATTAATCTGTGGTGGGTTAATTTGACAAACAGTATAGAAGCTTGACAAATACATTTATGGAAGAAAACATGTGATATCTTAAGGTGAAAACTCTTCTAATAATTATTGGTCAACTCTATATCAAAACATGAACAGGTTTTTTTGATAAAAATCAACAGGCTGATTCTAAAGAGAAAGGGCCAAAAATAGTCAAGAAATTTTTGAAAATAACAAAGACAGGAGACTGGTACCACCAGATATAAAGACATGATAGACACAAAGACAGAGAAATAGACCCAAATAACATAATATAGAAGAAATCAATAAAAACCTCAACTTTCTTAAATATAAACATTTGATATACTGTGGAAGTGGCAAATCACTGAGGAAAAGTTTTGGGAAAATTGGTTATTCATTTGGGAAGAAACAGTCCTTACCTAATACCTTAAGTAAAAATTTCACAAAAAGTAAAAATGAGCTATGCAAATATTCTAAAATTTTAGTAAAAAATTGTAGAGAATATCTTTGCAAAGATAGAGTTAAAGTATTTCTAAAACTAGGACGCAAAAAATGCAACAAAAATTGCAAACGATGAAGACAACTGATCTTTCTTCATTTTAAAAAAGGCCCTGTATGGAACTCCATTTCTAAAACTCCAAGGTTTGGATAATGTGTGCAATGCACATAATCAATAAAAAATGATGACAGAAAGATGCCTAGCAAAATATGCACACATTTATTAGGAAAAGGATAAACCACCCAATTGAAAATGAATACATTACACAACACGGGAATTTGTAGGAAACTGAAATGACTTAAAAACATTTTAAAAGATGTACAATCTTACATGTAATTAGTATTATGCACATTCTAGTGTTTTTCCAGATGGTTCATCCATGGGAAGCAGAAAATTTAAATAAGGCATAGCAATGGGATGCACAGTATCTTACACTACATTTGTAGGGTTTTTACAAACATTAAGGGGCTGTAGATGGAAGGATTAATTTGTTGGAAGTTAAGGTCAGAGGTCAAGCAATAAAGTCTAGGGGAATAATTAAGCCACTTTACTTTGAAGACAGCTCTATTATTATCACATTCCTCCTTGATCTTACCTATTGAAACCCAGGCAAAGAATTGCTAAGGTGCCATTATATATTTACCTGAAGTATACAAGCTAAGTATATACTTACCTGAAGTTGATTATGAAACTGTATGATCTTTTCTTTCTGAGGTGCCCAATGCTGTAAGCCTAATTGTTCTGTTGCACTATATACTGCTTTCTAAAAGGAAATAAATACATTAAGTGTAAATATATTAAACGTGTGTGTGTGTGTGTGTGAATGCATGTGTGTGGTGCTGGGACCTGAACTCAGGACCCTGAATATACTAAGCAAGCACTCTGCTGCTGAGCTTCACCTCCAGCCCAAACCCTTAAATGCTATTCCTCCAAAATCTCTTTAGACTAGGTATCTGTTATTATACTTTAAGACACCAGTTTTTAATTTTTTAGTTAACTAACTTTTGTTTCTAAGAAAAATAGGAACTATTATTACTCTTTACAGAAAAATATAAGACATAAAAGTTTCATGCTTACAGACCTCTGGTTGCAGATTTACAGCACTTGCGCCAGATTAAAAACTCTTGCCTTGTAGGTGGGCATGGTGGTGCATGCCTGTAATCCCAGCACTTGTGAGGCTGAAGCATGAGGATGGCCGAGAGTTTGAGCCCAGCCTAGGCTACATAGTAAGTTCAAGGTTAGCCTGACCTACAGGGAGAGACCCTGCCTCAAAAAACTAAAAGCAAAATAATCAACCAACCAATCAACCAGCCAAACAAACAAGAAGAATGTCTGTTTTAAGATATATTTAAGAATTGGTGCCTGCAGGTGCTGGGCTGAACCCTGGACATCTTCAGGAACTCTGGTGAGCCACCTCCACACCTCCCTGACCAGTGTGTGAGGCAGGTGGAGCCTCGGACACCTTCTGGGGCCTCGGTGGCCACTTCCTGCACCCCGATCCCTGCAGGTGCTGGGCTGAACCCTGGACATTTTCAGGAACCTCAGTGAGACACCCTGTGCCTCCCCCATTAGTGTGTGAGGCAGGAGGAGCCCTGGACACCTTCTGGGGTTTCAGTGGTCACTCCTAGCACAACCTGCACCCCAGTGGGAGCTCAGCTGAAACCCAGAAGAGAGTCAGCAGCCTCAGGAATTCTACCCTCATCCCTCCCCTGCCAGCATGGGAACTGGGCTGGATCCTAGGCAACATATGAGGCCTCAGTGACCACGACCTGCATCTCCCCACCCTTGTGGAAACCAGGCTGAACCCCAGACAGCTTCAGGAACTCCAGTGAGCCTCTCCTGCCCCTCCACACATGCCTGGGAGCCAACTGAATGCAACAAAGTTTCGTGAGCATCTGGGACCCCACCTTACCAACACACACCACCAGCAAGGGGCCACAATGAGCACCGGGGATCTTCGGATCCTCATCCTGCCACTCCCACACAATTGTGGGAATGAGGCTGAGCTCCAGGGAACCTCTGGATCTTCAAAAATGACAAAACAAAGGAGCAAAATGCAATCTCAGACCTCTGCACCACCCAGAACAAGTCCAGGAGACATCAACACAGAAGAGCCTGGAAGTCATACACCTGAAATGATAGCAACTGAAGTAAAGAAACAACTCCATCAGTCCATAGAGGACATCAGGTCAGAAATAATCTCTCAGGTAAAAAAAGGAAATGACAACAATAATGAAAGAATTGTTCAGCATATACGAAGAAAACACTGAGAAGAAAATAGAGGAGCATAAAAAACTCATGGAAACATTGAGTACACAATATACAAAAAACTAGAATGCATGAAATAGATTCAAACAGGTACCCAGGAAATTAAAAATTCCACCAAAAACTGGCAAAATAGCCTGAACAAAGCTGAAGATTGACTTTCAGACCTTGAAGATAAGATTGCCACTAATGAATGTGAAAGGAAACATCTCTTAAAACAACAAGGAACCAGGAAATAACAATTCAACACCTGCAAGATGAAGCAAAGAAAAACAATGTCAGATTAATAGGTATCAATGAAACAGCAGGTGTCAACACAAATGACATAAAAAGACTATTTGCAGAAATAATAGCAGAAAATTTCCCAGGCATGGAAAGAGAATCAGACATACAGATAAGTGATGCATATAGAACTCCAGTTAATCATAACCAAAATAAATCTACATCCAGACATACAGTGATCAAGATCCCAGAAACTCAACAAATGATCAAAATGTTTTTTTTTTTTTTTTTTTTTTTTTTTTGAGACAGGGTCTCACTATGCACTTCAGGCTGGACTTGAGCTCACTTTGTAGCCCAGGCTGATCTCAAACTCGCAGCAATCCTCCTGCCTCAGCCTCCCGAGTGCTGGGATTACAGTCGTGCCCGACCGCACCCGGCTTCATGATCAGAATATTAAAGGCTGTTAGAGAAAAGAAACAGATCAGCTACAAAAAAAGCCCATCAGAATCACAGCAGATTTCTCAACATGAACCATCAAGTCAAAAAGAGCTTGGAGTGAAGTATTTCAGGTACTGAAAGAAAACAACTTCCAACCCAGATTGATGTACCCTACAAAACTATCCTTCAAATTTAATGAAGAAATTAAATATTTCCATGATAAAGAACTGAAGAAATTCATGAGCACTAAAACAATCCTACAAAGAGTACTGAAAGATAATCTACAAAGAGATAAAACAGACCACAATTTTAAGAATAACAACAGGAAGGAACTACCAAGCAGAGTAAGAAATTAAACAGAGGGAAAAAGGAGGATTCAACAGCAGGAAAGTAACATGACAAATATAAGCCAGTACATATCAGTTATAACCATCAACGTAAACCGTCTCAACGCACCAACCATAAGAAGCTGACTAGCAGAGGGGATCAAGAAACAAAACCCAACTATATGCTGTATGCAAGAAACACACTCAACTCAAACAGAAATTCATAGGCTGAAAATTAAAGGGTGGAAAACAATAGTCCATGCAACAGGAACCCAGAAAAAAACTATTCTGTTTGCAGAGAGCATGAGGGTAGATTTGTGAAACCACTGTGGAAATCAGTTTGGAGATTCCTCACAAAACTAGGATTGGAAGTCCCACTTAACTCAGCTATTCCCCTTCTGGGTATTTTTCCAGAAGAATTAAAAACATCATACCACAGCAATATATGTGCACCCATGTTTATAGCAGCACAATTTGTTATAGCTAAATCTTGGAAAGAACCCAAATGCCCACCAACTGAAGAATGGATAAAAAGATGTGGTATTTTTATACAATGGAGTATTACTCAGCTATAAAAAAGATAAAAGAGGCTTTTGTAGGTAAATGGATGCAACTAGAGACCATACTCATAAGTGAAATAAATTGGACCCACATGTGTAGACATCATATTGTCTCCCTAGGGTAGGAATCTGAAAGAATAAGTAAAACTCAAAACATACAACAGATGATAGGAAAGGGAAAGAAATTGCTCAAAGGAAGGAATGACTAGTATGAGGCAAAGAAGGAAGGGAAATATATATATACATATTTGAGTAGCTGTGATAACTGTACTGCTAATGTCTGATGATATATTGAAAGAAACAGTTAATGCTTAAAATTGTTTATATTCTGACCAATTTTACATGATTATATCTGGTGATCTGAGGAAATGATTTGGAGGCAACAATATGCAATGGAACTACCATGGTGAAATTTTACCATCTTGTCTAGTGAAACTCTGTATTATCTCTATTGTTTTATCTAATAATTATTTTTTAATTCTCTTTAATGATTTGAACAATCTTCCATTCTTACGTCTGGTAATCTGAGCAATGTGGTTGAAGGTAACAATATGTAATATCGCAACCACTGTTAATTCCTATCATTTTGTTTTCAAACCTTTATCATTTTTAATGTTCTTGTTTCATGTTTGTGATGTTGGTATGCTGCTATTGTTATATTTTTCTTTTACTACTATCTTTAAAGTAAAAAAAGAATTAGTTGTTACCATAGTCTAATTATCCCACATTAAAAAATATATAAAAGGCTCTATACTTTTTGTAATTATAATCACCATTAAGGTAGGTTTTTAACTTTGTAATGATTATTTTAATGTTTTAATGTTAAGAATGTCTTAAGACAGCAAATAAAATTGATAAGACTGAAGGCATTATGTGGTTATACATGAAGACATCCCAAGAAGTAAATATAGTGAGGAAAGATTAAATATTCTAGCAAAGAAATTATAAGTGCACCTATGCTTCCTTCTAGAAGAAAGCTCATTTCAGTATGCATGCAATTGATAACTACACTTACCATAACAGAATTTATGTTTCCTATTCACTGGTCTCTCCCACTCTACTCTTAATCCCTTGCATCTCTACTATGAGACAACACACAGCTGCCAAAAGAGGCTTGTTGCCCTGGGCAATAGAGAAAGGCAGCTCCCCTGCAAGACTACTGGGTACACGTGGTTGCAAGGACTTTGAAACAGAGCTGATGAGACTGCCCCTGTAAGGCTGAACTCGAATAGTTTTAGATGCAGAGGCTGCTAATTCTCTGCAGTTAGAACACAAGCCTAGACACCTACGTTGTAAGCTAGAAGTCACATGTGTATGGAATTAAGAGTCAGATGAGATGCACAAAAGATCAGCAGATTCAGGATAATTAAAGAACTGGTATCCAAACAATTCAACCTTTCTGGTCATGTATTTTATCAAAATTTTTACTTCAGAAGGTTTTAAAATAAAATCACAGCCAGGTAGCACATGCCTGTAATCCCAGCACTTGGGAGGCGGAGGCAGGAGGACTGCTGTGAGTTCAAGGTCAACCTGGGCTACAAAGTAAGTTCAAAGCCAGCCTGAACTGTGAAATCCTATCTTAAAAAGACAAAATAAATAAATAAATAAAAAACTAAGGTTGGTTAGATCAGCCTTTGGATTGGAAAACTGTTGGTTCAGCAAAATCTAACTCATTTAATCACATGGGAAAAAGGGCCACATGGGATATAATCAATCAATCAATCAATCAATCACAATGTTACTGTAAAGTATTCAAGGATATATGATGTTCCTTAGAGTCAACTGGATGGCAAATTATATGTAGCTCTTACTCTAGGTTGTGTCTTCAGCAATTCTCAGCTGTCTTGCTCTGAGTTACGGTCTCCTACATTTGGGTACACTGGATCTTGTTGGGCACAGATCTAAGTTAGAAAGATCACAATGGTCTATCATACTTAATTTGGATGTTGTAT